CCCCAAAACCCCAAAACCCCAAAACCCCAAAACCCCAGGTTTAGTGGATAGGATTGAAAGGGATAGAGAAGATGAAATGAATAGAGGTTATATATTTGGAAATTTTTGATGGATTTATAATATTTTGTGAACAAATAGTGAGGTTTGCAGTAAGATAGTAGGTTAAGGCGGATATGAATTTCAAGCCTTGTTTAAATCAAGAATTTAATGATCCCTGTGAGGATTCTTTTTCAAATTCATGTAAAAAGGAAGAAGTCAGGTACTATGAATTAAGTAATGTTTCCAGAAACTCCACTGCGTTTTATCAGAAGCAGAACTTCTCATCCTCGCAGGCAAGCCAGCGATAAGAAGTTCAAGCCTTACGACAGTGACGATGAAAACAAGCTTCGCGAGATGGACCGCAACTGCAGAGCCCAGCTCTTGTACAATGTGCTCTACCACCTGCCTGAGCTGTCTGATCATCTCTGAGGCTACATCAAAGTCATTGTGTTAAGAGAAAACCTGACCAACCAGAACCCAGCTCTGCTGAAGTGAGACTTCTGGGGAAATGAGTTCTACACCTTTGACTCAGACATCGTGTGTATCCTGCAACACTGCGGCCAGACCATCTTGAAAGAAGACTTGTCTGATTTCCCTGGTATTACAGTCTACTTTAAAGTCAACAAGAGCAGGTCCAACTACGCCTCTCATTTCAAGAACGGACTCAGAAGCAGAAAGACTCAGTCGTTCAATGGCCACTAGCTGAAGTTCGAATTGGCTGTTCCGCTTGAAAGTGTTGGGACTCAAGACGAACTCAGCAAACTGGCTGCACCAATGTCAACTAAGAAACGAGGAATTTGCAGTAAGTCATGCACAAACATTGTTATTTCCAGTTATGAATGAATATTGGACTCATCTATCAGTCTGTTCTCACTCACATTTAGGGAAAAACAAACACCCCAGTAAAGCTTCTAGCGTCCACAAAGATATGAGCATTGTGTTCAGTCTGAGTGGTGAACCAATCAACAAGTTCGACCTCGGAGAGTTTGTGTTCAAAGGCAATGCCAACAAGCCTATTGCTGAAGCTCTCAAAACAGAAATCCTGTACATTGAGACACTGGACAAGAGGTTCAAAATCAGTTGTAGGTGGAAATAAAGTGCCTGCTGATGACCAGACCGGAGGTAAGCTCATTAAGTCTGACATTGTAGAAACCGAAGCCAAGTTTTACAGAATGGCCGAAGTCAAAGACCTCGACTACATGCGCAAGAGTGGCATTCCATTACCAGCGCCAGATGTCAAGTACATATTCAAAGACTTGAAGTGGGACAAACTGTTGTGGGGTGACACTTCTCTGAAGATCAGAGACTCGCTTAAGGTTGAGAACATTAATGGTATAAATCCTACCAGACTGAAGGTGACGATGAAGAGGAAGATAGGTAGATGCTATATAAATACTAAAAATAGCACATATGTCATTTTCAACGCATAGATATTATATTGGGGTTTTGGGGTTTTGGGGTTTTGGGG